GAAGGAGGTACCACCAGGCGCTGTCTCGCGAGACGACCGCGGAGCCGCCTCCGCCGGGGCCGTGCGCCTGGCGCAGGTGGCAGAGGTGGTCGGAGGGCTGCGGCGTGGGCTTGGGCGCCGCCGTGGGCGGGTGCGAACTCCGGACGTGGAGGTGCAGCCGTGTTCCCTGGGCCTGCAGCGGGGCGCTGCGGCCTCGCCTGCGCTCTCTGCCTCTTCTGGGCTCTCTGGACGGCGGGAGTTGGGACAGCGACGACGGCTGGAGGGGATGGGACGCGGAGACCTTGGAAAAGAAGCCGGCCCGGCGCGGGAAACCCCTGGGGGCGAGCTGCGGGCCGCGCGGAGCTTGGCTGCCTTTATTCTTGGCAGGCGCATGGTTGTCAGGGAACAGGCGGGAGTTCGAGACCGTCCATCCGGTTGGCAAGAATAATTTCCTTAGGTACCCGCTAGGCCATATGAGGATATCTGCGGGACCCCGGTGCCGAGGGTTCGTTTGGCCAATACCCCCTGGCCAAGAAGTAAAGATCACATGTGGGCCACTTGGAGGCATTGAACCTGGGAGTTGTTTCTAGACGGCCTCGCTGATGAGAATAAAACCCATTATGCCCTAGTTATGTCTCATGCCTGGGTGACGATGGTGTAGCTTTAAATATGACTGGGCGCACGCAGAAGTAGCCTGACAAACTACCTAAGGAAAATAATAGGCGAGACTACCCAGCCTGAAAGAGTTTTCTCTAGATTACCGTGAATACTTCAGAGGAAACCGACCATACATTAAGTGATAGGAAAGGTCCAAAATATGCACACATTGCTTTTTGTGGAATGTTGTTTTGCGATGACGAGACTTTTTTGTTTGAGCAAAATGGTTATGCCGTTTGAAACTCAAGGACTACGGAGAGGAGGACATGGCAGGCTTTCGAGTGAGGGGAATGATGAAGCACTAAAAGTTCTAGGAAAGGAGATAAAGTGCTTATTCCACTAGATAAAATGAATATGTTGTCAGAGCAAATTAGTGGTAGAACCTGAGCATGGCCAGAATTAAGAGGAATTTGCAAAGCCTATCAACAGTAATTTCGGTAGAAAAACTTTGTACAGTTACTAAGGTACCAGGAAAAATAGTTTACTTACCTCTGGCTGAATGTGTATGCCAATTACATTTATTCAATTTCCTGTTACAGGAACTAGAACATGGGCTGGAAAATCTAATTGTTTATCTGTGAGGTTATTTTCATGATGATTAATCCCAGAAACTATTAGAGAGCCTTGGAATATACTCCTCTAGTTTATTCTACCTATCTCATTCAAAGGAGAGAATCTGAAGATTTAGGACAAAAAGCAGTTGAAGAATTCAAAGATGTGGATGGTGAAAAAAGCATCAACATCTTTGCACCCCAAGAGCCTTAGTGTTTTTTGTATTCTGTTTTTGTTTTTTTTTTGTTTTTTTGGTTTGACTCTTACTAAAATGTAAAATGCATCAGAAGTTCTATGTCTTGTCTTTATCCAAGTCCTATTCATATTTCGTGTCCTAGCTCAAAAGTCTTATCTATGTGAAGCTTTTCTTTATTAGTTCAGCTCAGAACGTTATTTGCTTTATTCAAAATCTAATACACTTTTGGGAGTATAGCTCATTTGCTCTTTGAATACTGTCTTCCACTGTTTAAGTTTCATCATTATATGTTGTGTCTTAACAACTAGATTGTCAGCTCTTGACTGTGGACTGAAAGCTCATTCAGCAAATGACGAATAAATTAGAGAAGTGAGAAATTTCCTGTTTAAAGATTGTCAGTTTGAACCCGTTAGCAATTATGCACAGTTCAGCACCACTTAGATGGAAAAATCACTGTAGACACTGGATATGGTTATGAGTTTTGTATATTCAGGTTGCAGTTTGAGAGACTGCTCATGTTACCAAAGACGCCTCCAGGTTTGATAGTTGAAGGAGATTCTACTGTTGGGAAGAGTAGACTTTTTAAAAGTGGGTATATTAAAGTCTCATTTTTAAATTTGTTTCACAGTTGGCTGTTTATAGCAAAAATAAGAGCAATATATTGGGATTGTAACACATGGAAAACGTATGCTCACAATATCACAAAGGACGGGAGGTAAAAATGGAAATAGAGCTTACATTATATGTGTTGTGTTGTATCTTATTTGAAGGCAGACTGATGAGTTAAAGGTGCATATTATAAAACTTAGAACTAAAACGAAGCATAGCTAAGCAGTCAACAGAATTAAAATGGAATACTACAGATTAGTCCAAAAGGAGCCAAGAAAAGAGGGGGAAAAAAATTTTAAATGTAGATGGGTCAAATAGAAAACAAATATTAACCACATCAATAATTAATTGTAAATGGTCTCAACAATTAAAATGAAGACATAACTGCTCTAAATAAAAAAAAGCATGTGCGCTGTTCTCAAAAAAAGGCATCACCAACATGAAGACTTAAGTTCAAAGTAAAATCATGGAAAAATATGCGAACAGAATAAAGTTGGAATACCTATATTAATGGTAGACAGAGTAGACTAGGAAAAGGAACTTGGCCTATCTTCAAGACGAGAGATAAATAGGGAACATTTCATAACAATAAAGGGTCAATCCCTCAAGATATAATGACGAAGCTTCAAATTATATAAAGTAAAAACTTAAAAAAAAGAAACAGACAAATCCACAATTATAGCTGAGATTTCAACAGCCCTCTCTTAGTGTTTGATAAGTAGACTTCAAAAATCAGTAATATTGTATGTCGACGATACCTTAATAAAAAAATAATTATGCTGAATGAAAGAAACCAGATTTAAAAAAATACTATATGATATTTATATAAAACTAAAAAAATGCAAACTACTCTATAGATGTAGAAAGTTGAGGTTGGGGCTGGGATGGGTAGGCGGGACGGATTAGAGAAGGGTGTGAGGAAACAGGTGATGTGTTCAGTACTTTGTGGTGATATCATGTGTGTTCCTATGTCTTGTACATTTTAAATGAGTATGTAAATTATATCAATAAACCTTTAAAATATACACTTCCTTTGAGGACCATCAACTTCCTCTTTTATACCATGTTATGTCAAATTTGAGTAAAACTTAAAATTTTAATAAAGTCAGTGTGTGTGTGTGTGTGTGTGTGTGTGTGTGTGTGCGTGTGTGTGTGTTTCTGGACCAGCTAATCATAATGAATAAGACAAAAGTATTTACATGATTAGTTATAAACTATTAAATGATTTAGTACCTTGCATATGGTAAAATGGTCCATAATATTTTATTTCTTTAGATTGAAATTGGTTGAATTTATTAGGGAATAAATACTAGGTAACATTTAAATGCAGAGTGTGAGTAGATAATGGAATAAATAGTCCTGTTGCTACCACATGCAATAATGTAAAAGGCCATTCATTGAGAGAAAAATTCATTTTAATCAACTTCATTTAGATGTAAAGACAACATTGCCACTTCGTTGGTGAATACTGAGTATATTGCTGAAACATTCTTGACTGTTCAATTTCTCTTTGATGTAGCTATTCAAGAAATATACAGAAGGCCCCCAACCAATACGATTCTCTAAGGATGTGAATGTGACTGCCACAGTGTGGCTTAACGCTGCCCCCGATAAGTACAGGCCTCAACCCAGACAGGTGGTTCTGTAGTATCTGACTACCTCATGCTCAAGGCTCTCCTGTATCACACACACTATAAGCAAAACAAAAATTTTTTAAAAACAACTTGATCCCGGCCCTAAGATTAGTGTGGTCGGGCAAATGACTGGGAAGGTATTCCAGTACGATGTAGTGGGCGCTATGAGAGCAGACGTACAGAAACTATGGATGCTCAGAAGAGCACCGGGAGCACTTGGGAGTTTAGGGAGGACCCATGGGTAGTTGTTCATCTAAGAGGAAAGCATTAAGAGAAGTGATGGCAGAATGAGGTTAGAGAGGTAAGGAAAGATGAGATTCTGCAGTGCTCCGGAAATTACTTTATTCTAGAAGCAATGGGAAGCTTTTGAAGAATTGTAAGCCAAGGAAAATAATTAGATTTGTATCTTAGAAATAATATTCTGGTTGAAGTAGAGAGAATAGATGACAAGGAGATACGATTAGAGGCAGGGAGACCGATTAGCTACTACCTCTTCGCAAAAAATACTGAGACCATTTATTATAAACCTCTCCTCTCAGAGCTACACATTTACTTATACCATTCCCTTGCTTCCTTTTAATTTCTGAGAAAAGATGTCTTTTTCAAGGCCCACTTTTCTTGTCTCCTTTGGGACCTGGCACTATCAATTTTCTCCCTCCTTCTCTACAATTTCTTATATTCAAATTACAATCATCCTTAAATCTCTCAAATATTGCGAACCCTTTAATCTCCTGGTTTCTGTCCTTCATCTCTTTCCATCTCATACAAAGCTTTTGAAAAAGTGGCATTTTCTTGAAATCTCCATGTCTTCACCTCTCATTCACTGTTCAACTTATTTCCCTGGCTTCAATTCCCACTACTCTGTGGAAATCGATTTTGCTAATTTGATGGACTTCCTGATTGCAAAATCTAATGCACATTAGAGTTTGTGAGTTCGTACTAGTTTTCAGTAATGGTAATGTAATGTTATCCCTCATTTTACTTAGGAGTCTCTCTTTGGCCTGA